CATAAAGATAATTTATTACCAAAAAATACAAGAACTGAGATACTTAAGAACCAACCATGTAACTCTGAGATCAAATATGAAGCTCTCATTATAGACAAACAAATTTGGAAATTTATGTCTCTACAGGCCAAAGAAATGGACAAATTGCTTGCAAAGATTGCTTATCGCTTTTCTGCTATACTTCGACTGCTTGACAACACACTTAGGTCAATTTATGACACCAAACCCAATAATGATTCTGAAGCTCTTCTGGCATGGAAATTTATTGAAATAGCTCTCAAGGATATAAGAGCCCTTCTGTTGGATTTATTATTATACATGAATGAGCTTAGAAGATAGCAGTCACTTAAGATTATTTCCCCCAATTACACACCCCATTAGACAGGGATGAAGTGTTTGGGAGGAGCTTGGACCTATTATTAAGAAAGAGAATTCTACTAACAAGCTCTTTAACAAAGCGTTAGAAAATCATAAAAGACAACAATTTCAAAGAAATAATTCTAGACCACAATATATTAAGAGTAATTCCCATCTTGGCCAAGTATGAAGAGGTAATTATCAGCCATATAACTATACGCAAAACCGGGAAAACGAATTTTGGGGCGGCCCCAACTATGGAGGTCGCCCAAGATCATACAACAGCCAAAGTGCTGCAACAAATCATTAATAGATCATACTCCAATAAGAATGAGATTATCAATGCATTTACCAGAATGGATACAGTTAACTGGCTAGTCTTGGCATATGAATATTATCAGAGAAGATTATCATCCAGAATGAGTCTCACCTCTGCCTTTAAATTATTTCTCCCAAGATTTGCAGCAAATTGTTTCCCCAGAACTATTATATGAAATTTAAAAACTTTTGGAGAAACAGGTTATAAAGAAACTAGACACAGATATTTCATACTTTCGATCAAAAATTTTTACAATCCCAAAGAAAGACGGTTCAACACAGCTAATTATAGATTTAAGAGAATTAAATACTTACATTCATTTTTCATATTTCAAAATGAAAACAATAGAGACAGTCAGATCTCTTGTAAATCGAAATGACTTTATAACATCAATTGATATTCAAGATGCATTTTATCATGTGCCCTTAGCTTCATCAGTATCTCAATATTTTGCATTCGATATTGGCAGGCGTCGCTACCAGTTTACTGCTCTCCCTTTTAGTCTGACGAGCAGTCCCAGGATATTTACAAAACTAATGAAGCCAGTTCTTGCGTGGGCACGAAACCGTGATATCAGATTCACAATCTACTTAGACAACATTCTATTGATGGCACATTAGAAATCAGAAGCAATAGAACAAACCAAACCCATAATTTAACTGCTAGAGAACCTAGGTTTCAAGATCAACGTCTTAAAGTCCAAACTAATACCATCCCAACAGATAGAGTTCCTAGACTTCAATATCAATTTTACAGCAATGAACTTGAGTTTTTTCAAAAGGAAAATCAATGACATAAAGAAGGAATATACTTCAATTTCAAGAAAACAGGTGGTTCATGCAAAAGAGTTGGCCTCAGTCATTAGAAAGCTCTCAGCCACTATTGGTGCGGTATTTCCAGCCAAACTAAAAATGCATTCTCTAATAAGAGACAAAAATTTAGCAATAAGGAGCTAAAGATGGAACTCATACCTAGCATTATCACCACAAAGCAGTCAACAACTCAGCTGATGGATCAGGAGCCTGAAAGATTGGAACAGATTATGCATAATCCCATCTCAACCAATAGCGATTATATGCACAGATGCTTTGTTAACAGAATGGGGCGCCATAATGAATCACAATGTAATTTATGATCACTGAGCACAAGCACAGAAAACTCTACATATAAATGTTTTAGAGCTAAAAGCAATATATTACGCTCTGCTAACATTCAAAGAGATCGAAGACCAAACCATCCTAATAAGTTCAGATAACAGATCTGCTGTAGCCTATTTAAACCATCAAGGCGGTACCATATTACAAAAACTAAGCCTGTTAGCAAAGGACATATAAGATTTTTGTCTAAAAAGAAAGATTAGATTAATTGCACAACATCTACTAGAAAGGCTAAATATCCAAGTTGATCAAGCTTCCAGGCACAGGTTCAAACAACAAGATTGGCAATTAAACCCTAAAATATTCAACTAGTTGAAAGAAAAATGGTGTCCATTCACAATTGATCTATTTGCAAACAGAGAGAATGCTCATCTTTCAAACTTTTATTCAAGGTTTTCAGACCCTCTAGCCTTATCAACAGACACACTAAAGCAAATCTGGCTAAAGGAAACACTATGAGCAAACCTCCTATGGATACTCATCTCAAGGATACTATCCAAGGCAATAACAGACCAAGCTACCCTTTATCTAATAATTCTGGGTTAAAAAACGGCTTCTTGATTTCCTCTACTAATATATTTATTAATAGACCTACCAATTCTCCTCCTGACACACATAGTTTTACCCCATTACCAATCAACCAACCCAACCTCCTCTGAAATCTAAATTGGCAAATATTCGCTTGTCTAATATTAGGACGAAGCTATAAGCAAAGAAGTTTCCGGAGAAGGTTATTAAAAGAATCGAAAACACAACAAACAAATCATTAAATACCACGATTGGATCCGCAATCAACAAATGATATATTTGGTATAATGAAAGGAGTACCGATTTCATATACTGTCCTGTAGAAGATATAGTCAAATTTCTAAATGATATGTGCAACTAAAAGAAGGCATATAACACAATAGCCTCTTACAGATTAGCAATAAGTGAAATCTATAGTCACATCAATAGTTACTCAGTAGGAAAGCACCCAGACATTGCAAAGTTTATAATAGCGATACGAAAAACAAACACACCTCTTTCTCCCCCAGATGACGCAGTAAACTTAGCTCCTGTATTAAACTTTATAATTAGTCTAGGCTCTAATGATGATATGTCAATACTAAACCTTTTATGCAAGTCAGCTTTTTTAATTACATTAGAATCAGCCTCCAGACCTAATGGTCTTCATAGAATAGCACTAGGTACTTTACAAAAATCAAATACTAGAATTTCATTCAAAATCTCTAATCTCAAAGAGACAAAAATTTCAATATCACATGATGACAACAAGTATATGACCAAGAAAATTTTCATTAACTACTATGAGGATGCAACATTATGCCCTGCATCAGCAGTATTAAAATTGCTTAACTGAACACAAGAGTGAAGACATTTGTCAAACTTACAAGATTACTTGTTCATAACCATCACGGTTCCTTACTGGCTAGCATCGGTAGACACAATTTCTTAGTGGTTGAAAGATGTTTTGACACAGATAGACTCTGATGCGAAAGCCAAAAATATTAGATCATTGTCACCCTATTAGCACAAGATACTGAAGCAGACATGTCTACGCTTCTAGCATTGAGAATTGGTCCAGTTACACTGTATACTAAAGGTTTTACCAAAGGGATATCAAAAGGATGTTAGAACGAAATAAGATTTCATCACAAATTCTGAACCAAGCAAGATCTCAACACTAAGTATATCTCTGAAATCTACACATGATATTATATATCAATACAAGTGAAATGCATTTTAACCAATGGTCGATTACAAATGAAGATCATTGGAAAATATATAAACGAGTGTAGATATATAATATCACGTTGTTTCCCTACTTATCCCTTCCATACCTTGTAATAATATAAGCAGAGGTTTTTTTCGATTTTTAACAACAAATTAGTGCATCGGGGGTGCGTTAAGTATAACCCAGATTTGCATCAGGAGTGCATCCTCCTGCATCGCAAATACTAAGTGAAATTTCCGATTATATATACTGTAATAATATACGACAGTATATAGTATCGGTATATTTAATGTTTTTTTTCTTTCGCCCTTTCGTTGAAAACTAATAAATATTTATTATTACCCAACGTATTTAAATAAATTATTACAATTAGAATCCTTAATAAGAACGTAAATCTGACTAGCCAAGTTGTTTAGATTCTCTGATCGCTTTGGAAACTATACCCTCGTGATTAGGCCTTTCGAATGAGATGTATTATGGTTTGGTTCAAGTTTCTAATTTAGAGCTCAATATTATATTATAAGCTCTCTGGGCTAGTGTTAACTCAGTCACATATTTTTCTAGAATCAGTTTTAATATGTAAAGAACTTTTCAAGAAGACTACGAAATTGCTACCCGGATTTAGGTCAAATAAAGGTGTATTAGACTATTCAAATTTATGAGTATTTGCTCTTTATAATTATTTTTTTATTGATAATTATTTAAAATATTTTGTTTTTTAAAATTCATGATTATTCATCGGTTTATTTTATTTTATTTATGATAATTTAGTGCGTAAGGATAAAGAATCATTATCAAATATTCAAAATCAGTTATTTACTACAAGACCAAGTTGCTGCAGAATTTAGTGTGACAAAACTAAGCTATTATAGACTGAACTATTACAGATTAGATTGCAAGGATCCAATTTACTAAGGTTAAGCGATAAAAAAATTAGGTTTCTGTAAATATAAATCATTACAGATATACCGTACAGCACAGACTATAGCTGATAGTACCCTGGATACGATACGTTCCACAGCTAAAATCTAAGTTAGTATATAAGAGGTGTATTTACATAGAAATGACATATTCTACATAGTTAATACCCAAGTATTTCACTCTGTAAAGTACCTGGGTATCTTATATTTAACTGCAAAACATTTTTATAGAGGGTACTTTGATAATTTGGCCAGATGAGTGTCTATACCCACCGAGTAGAGTAGCAGCGGATACGCTTTTCAGATTTCCATATCACCCCAGTCGAGGGATAAAGACCTAATGCTCGAACATTGACTGAAGAACTATCTGCATAACGCTTGATATATTACCAAACTTGGTTCTGTATTATGACTACGCCTAGAGAAAAAAGTAAAGTATATACATACACATTACATCAGATTTATATTATATTATAGGTAAAAAATATATATATATATTTAACGTTAAACTACCATTTTGAATTAGTAGAAAGGAAAGTTTGTGTCCGGTCTGTCCATTTAAGAACTATGGTATAAAGACTTCCCATGCTAACATGACGCAAAAATGATACATAGTCAAAGATCGGATTTTGTCGACGGTTGGTAACAGAAATACCATTATCAACTAGATGTATTCTTTCAAGGTCAGTTAAATATGACATATAAACATCAATGATTGACAATAGTGTTGAATCTTTTAAAGGCCGAACCCATAATATAGGTACTGAACTCCTAGACCATAACCTGTTGACTAAAACACACGATTGTAGTAATTTATGATCATCTTTCAAATGTGAAAATATTTCAATAAGACAATCAGCCGGAAGTGTTAATTGATATTTTCCAGATGAATATCCACGAAGTTCTGGTGTACTTGATCTAGAAGTTTTATGCCTTCGATCTTTAAAGTCTCTGGTTAGTTTTCTTTTAATACATTGAGACGGCTTTCCATATTCAAGACACATGGACTCAATTAATTAAAATTGTGCTTATTCGATTCCGTTATATATATATATATATATAGAGGGTACTGTGGTTCACGCTGTGTGGTAATAATATCCAATTTTATAATAAAGAACTTTTTTTTATTATAAATTTAAATTACTAGCTAATTAATATTCCTACTTATATTTCATTTTTGATGATTCCAGTTCAATTTGATCTACCCAAGCTTAATCCAATTTATCTTCTATTAGTTTTTGATTTTTAATCTGATTCTTAGAATAGAATTAAACTGGGTTAACTATTAACATCCCTATTTATGAGTGTTATTTGACAACTCATCTAATAACAAATTACATTAGAAATGCATTTAATTCTTTGATAATTGTCAAATCAATCTGTTTAAATTTGGACAGATGGGTAAGATCAAAATCAGATCAAATACTAGGTTTTCAAAAGCAACTCTAGTCATCTTATTTACATAGAATTAGATTAGTTTTTGATTAATTTGGGCTATATTTTTGGTAAATTGTAAGCTGATATGTTAGCTAAATAAACTAACTATAAAACAATTGTTAACTGTATGTTCAAGCTCTTCAGATTCTATAATGATTTCTTTTTTCTTCTTGCAAATGTTGTTTAAAGTTTGATCTTCACGCTTCCTTTTTCTGCTTTCATTTATAATAGTAAATACTCAAAGCATGTTTTTTGATTATTTTAAAATGCAAAATGGGTTTCAGAATGAACAACGATGCATTAAATGCTTATTTTTTCCATTTTAGCAAATTACAGTAAAATCAAAAAAATAAAAATTTAGATATTTTTATTATTGTACATATTACTAATCAAATATTATTATTATCATTATTGTCATCATATTTCATAGTGGTAAATATATTTAAGCTCTGTATTACGTACATGATTTTGGTGGCGATATTAGGTAGGTTGATGCTCAATGATTGACTGAGTTTAAAACCCATTGAATAAAGTTTATTTTGATGTTCGAAATTTTGATCGATGTTCAGATAATTATTTCCTGATTCTACACTGTAATTATAATTGTGTATAGTAAAACAGAAGAAAATATACCTGATTCAAATATAATATTAGCGGTTAGATAACCTATCGTTGTGAATTTTTTTATTTGTTAGGATTAAGTTTAGATCGGGTATATTTTCTTCTGTTGTATGTTAATGCATTGATTCGAAACATAAACTATGTACCTCAATATGATTATTTTAGATAGCTTTATTGTAATCTTTTTTTTTTTTTTTTTTTTTTTTTTTTTTTTTTGTAAATGCCATAGTTGAAACTTTATTTAATAAAATAGAATAAAATTCTACATTAAAGATTTCAGAACTACATTTGTGCTACTATATTAGGCACCCAATGTGACATTATACCCTCTAGTTTTCTATATAATGCAATCAATTATTGCTATAAATTGGTTTGCTAGAATAGGTTAGAGGAAACCTAAGGTATATATCATGGCATTAAAAGATACAGTTAGTTAAGGAAAAGCCTTGTCGAAACCATTTTTCTATAAAAGAAGAAGTGTCTGTTTGAGATATATTTGATAGAGTAGTATTTGATGTTGTAGGCATATTAGGTAGAATATATTTGTTTTGTTTTGTTTAGTTTTTGGAGTAATATTTCGAGCTTGTTCCCATTGGTGTTGAGAGACATTACATATGAACCATATATCATCATGAAATCAGTATATCTATATTATTAATTTTATATAGTTCAAATGTATTATTAAGAATATTTTGAATAGTTTCTGAGTTTTCACAAAGCCATATTGTATCATCCATATAGGCTAGTGGTGGAATTAGGATATTTTTAGAGGTGGTATTAGTGATAATATCAAGAGGTGATTGAGATGCAATTTTAAGCATTTTGTTTTGATATTTTTGGTGAATAAAAGTGAGTATTGGATCATAATAAATTTTCTATAGTAATGGAGAATAGGTTTTTTCTTGTTCAATTTCAGATTGGATATTAACTGGTGATGTAAGTTCATATCCTGTAATGATCCTTGCTTGTCTGGAGGAATATAGTTCAGTAATAAAATTAATTCCTGCAGAAGGGATGCCAATTCTTTTACAGATACTTTGAAGGTGGGATATATTGATTTTGTCAAAGGCTTTAGATATATCTTAAAAAGAATCCAAGCTTCTTTGTTGTGTAGTGTATAGTGTTCAATAGTATTATAGAGGATTTGTATTGGAATATGTGTTGATGAATTTTTTGATGCAACAAAATTGAGGTCTGATAAGAGTTGATTAGTAGAAATAATTTAATCAAGACATTTAGTGAAGATTTTAGTAAAAGTTTTTTTAAAGGGTTCGAGTATAGATATTGGTTGGATTTGATTAAAGGTAAAATTCCAATTAGATTTTTTTAGAATAAGAAAAATGTTTGAGGACTTCCATTCTGTAGAGACTTTTTGGAGTTGGAAGCATTTATTAAAAAAAAGTCTAAAGAGTATTTGTGCTTTGAAACTAGCATATTTAATATGTTTATAGCAGATTTTTGAAGGTCCAGCTGCTTTTTGGTTAGATAAACTGGTTATAATATCTTGCCATTCTTGGTCAGTAATGTTTTGAAATAAGTTTTGATAGGGTATCTTATGTTTAGGATGTGGTTGGTAGAGTTAATAGAACTCAGAAGATGCTTGAATTTGTTAAAAAGGCTTTTTTTAAAAATATTCTGAGAAGTGATTATAAATTGCTTGAAGTACTTTTTCATGTTCTGTAAGGAGAGAGCTCTCTAGAAGTAGTCTATCAATATAAATATTATTAAATCTTTCAAGAATTTTTTTATAAAAGAGTTTAGATATTTTTAAAAAAGATTGATTTTGATTTTCAATTTTTTGTTAGATTTCTCTGTAGGTAGTTTGTTGTTGTTGAATATTGAGAGCGGTTTTGATTTGTTAAAATTCTTCTTTAATTTGAGATAGAGTAGGTGTTTCAGTTTAAAAGAGACAGTCAGAGTATTGAGTTGTATACTTTTTGCAAAGTGTAAAGAAATTAGTAGAAGAGCTGTGATTTTTAAGATATTGGATTTCTTTGAATCTATAAAAAAGTAGTGTTTGTTTTGTTGTGGTAGTTTCTTTGATTTCTTTAATAGTTTTAATTTTGTGAAAGAGAATGTGTTTGACAGCAGCCTTTTTAAGAGTTTTTTGTAATTTATTCCAGAATTTATTAAGTTGATTTTGGTTAGAAATTGCATTAACTTGTAAGTTAAGGCTTTGTAAGTTAAGTGTGATTTGATTTGCATAGTTGTCTAGGTTTTCTTTAGTGCAGTTTTTCCACAGAAATTTTCTTTTTTTATGTTGTTTTTGTGGTTTGGATTTGTTAACTATGATTGATAGTTCTAGTATTATAATATTATGGTCTGAATTGAAATTTTTATTTGATAAAATATCTGTGTAATCTATATTTGTAATTCTTAGATTAGTCCAAATTTGGTCAATTCTACTTTAAGTGTTAGAGCATTGAAAGATAAAGTTTAGAGTATTGGGAAAAAAGAAACAATAGATATCTTTGAATTGGTGACTGATTAGATATTTAATAAGTTGAGTTTCTGGAATTGATGATTTTTTGGAGGGTATATAGTCGATACGTAGGTTTGGAACACTATTGAAGTCTTCTATAATTATGATTTTGTAGTTTGGATTTTGATATAGTGTAATAATTTGCTCTTAAACATCTTTTCGAAGTTGTTTTTTCTCTCCATTAGAGATGTATATTTGTAGTAATCTAATAGAAGTATTCTTGAAGTAAAGGTCAATGCCAATAATGTAACCATTATAGTTGTGTATGCATGCTATATATTTAGAGATTTTGTTATGAATAAGAAAACCAACAACAGCTTGATGTGAGTTAGCATAAGAACTCTAGTAGCTAGTATATGTTTTGGCTTTATTGTTAAGGAATTTGCCTTCTTTTATAGTTAAATGTATTTCAGATAGTCCAAGAATATCATAAGTGTTTTGGTCTAGAATTTCTTCGATTAATAGTTTTTTTGTAGACTGTAGAAGTCTATTTGTGTTAAGTGAAGCAATTTTAATAGGAATTGAGATGTATTCAGATTCATATGTATATAATGTATTAGGTGGGAGGTTTGGAGTAGTGAAGGAGTAAGGTATTAGGTGTTCTTCAAGATTAGGTCTTGAGAATTTATAGTTGTTAAACAATTTGAGAGGTAAGTGAAAGTATTTATTGTAGTTAAATTGTTCAATCAGTTTGTGATTAGGAAGGAGTGTTTGTTCGTATAGTAGGTAAATATGTGTTTCAGTTAGTTGTTTGTTAACAGATATAGTAAAATTTTGTAAAAATTTAATTTGTTGAAGAAGATGAAAAAAAGATGATAGAGTATATAAGGATGTAGTGGTTGGAAGGTTATAGTAGGATAAAAATTTATTGTAACAGGTTCAGAAACTGATTCTTCTTTCATTGTTCTAAACTCTCTTGCTGAAAAGGAGAGAGATCAAAGAAGAGCATATCTTTAAAGAGGAGGGTTGGAAATTGAGATTGAATTTCTGTTTGAGTATTTCTTCTGCTTAAGGTAAAGCAGTTTCATTAAAATAACTAATCATAGTAGATATAGGAGATGGTTTATCAGAGTTCTGATTTTTGATTTTTTTATAGTATACTATAATACATGCTAAAAAGTTGGGTCAATAGGGTTAGTTGTAAGGTGGTTGATTGCTTCTTCTTTAGATAAATTATTAATATTATGATTTTGAGCAGCTGTTTTGTAATAGGCAGCCAAATATTAATAGAAGTAGTAGCTTTATCTCTTCTTATTTGTTTTAACATTATTGAGTTTACAGACTTCTTCTTCAGTTGCAGATGTGAGTTCATCTAGTATCAAGGTAGGTATTTGTTTATTAAAAGTGGCTTCATATTTGTTACCAGCATGAAAGATAGTGAGTTTAGTTTAGGTTCAATCCAAGTAGATTCATCTTGGGGTTTTTTAGAAAAAGAATTGTTGAATTGTTGAAGAGTATCTTGAT